ATGCTGATACTGATGATGACGTTGCCGATGATGACGACGCTGATCCTGATGATGATGCTGATGACCATGCTAATGATGATGCTGCTGATGATGATGCTGCCGATGCTGCCGATGCGTATGATGCTGCTGATGATGATGCTGCTGCTGCTGATGCTGATGCGCTGATGCTGATGATGATGATGATGATGATGATGATGATGAGGATGCTAATGACGATGCTGATGATGCTGCTGATGACGACCGTAATGCTGCTGCTGATGAGGATGATGATGGTGCTGATGACGACCATGATGCTGACGATGATGGTTATGAGTAGGATGATGATGTTGCTGCTGCTGATGATGATGATGCCGTGGGTAAGGCTGCTGATGATGCTACTGATCATGATGATGATGATGACGATGACGATGATGATGATGCTGATGATGATGATCATACCGATGATGATGATGATGATGATGATGATGAGGGTGCTGCTGATGATACAAACGATAATAATGCTGATGCTGATGATGATGAAGCTGCTGCTGATGATGATGCTGATGATGATGATGATGCTGCTGATGCTGATGATGATAATCATGATGATGTTGATGATGATGGCACTGACATTGCTGCTGCTGGTGACGATGCCGACGACGACGATGTTGATGATGATGATGATGCTGATGGTCGTGATGATGATGATGATGATGATGAGGCTGGTGTTGGTGATGGTGATGTTGCTGATGATAATGATGATGCTGATGATGATGATGATGATGATGCGGGTGATGATGATGCTGATGATGATGATGATGCTGATGATTGTGATGATGCTGATGATGCTGATGATGATGATGCTGATGATCATGATTACGATGATGCTAATGATGATGATGATGATGATCACCATGCTAATGATGATGCTGATGATGATGACGATGCTGATGATGATGCTGATGATGATGATGATGCCGACGATGATGATGATGATGATGATGATGATGATGATGATGATGATGCTGATGATGATGATGCTAATGACGATGATGTTGCTGCTGATGATGATACTGCTGATGATGCTGCTGCTGATGATGAGGATGCTGATGACGATGCTGATGATGATGCTGCTGATGATGCTGATCATGATGCTGATGCTGCTGATCATGATCATGACGATGACGATGATGATGATGACGATGATGATGATGATGATAATGATGATGATGATGATGATGATGATGATGATGATGATGATGATGATGATGATGCTGATGCTGATGCTGATGCTGCTGCTGCTGCTGCTGATGATGATGATGATGATGATGATGATGATGATGGTGCTCACGGCGACGATGATGCTGACGATGCTGGTGATGAGTAGGATTATGATGCTGCTGCTGCTGATGATGATGTTCTTGATAATGATGCTGATGATGCTGCTGATCATGTTGATGATGATTACTCTCCACTCGTTTAAACTAGGTATCAGATACCGACCTACTTTAGCCGAGATCTATTTTTACCGAGTCTAATTTTACCGAGCCGGGACCTGAACACTCAACACAACGTAGTGGATGTCCAGGGTCAGTCCGGGGCCAGTCCGGGGTCAGTCCGGGGTCAGTCCGGGGTCAGTCTGGGGTCAGTCCGGGGTCAGTCCGGGGTCAGTCCGGGGTCAGTCCGGGGTCAGTCCGGGGTCAGTCCGGGGTCAGTCTGGGCCGGGTCAGTCTGGGGTCAGTCCAGGGTCAGTCCGGGATCAGTCCGGGTCAGTCTGGGGTCAGTCTGGGGTCAGTCCGGGCTCAGTCCGGGGTCAGTCCGGGGTCAGTCCGGGGTCAGTCCGGGGTCAGTCCGGGGTCAGTCCGGGGTCAGTCCGGGGTCAGTCCGGGGTCAGTCCAGGGTCAGTCCGGGGTCAGTCCGGGGTCAGTCGGGGTCAGTCCGGGGGTCAGTCCGGGGCCAGTCCGGGGTTCGGTCCGGGGTCGGTCCGAGTCGGTCCGGGGTCGGCCCGGGGTCAGTCCGGGGTCAGTCCGGGGTCAGTCCGGGGTTAGTCTGGGGTCAGTCCGGGGTCAGTCCAGGGCCAGTCCGGGGTCAGTCTGGGGTCAGTCCGGGGCCAGTCCGGGGCCAGTCCGGGATCAGTCCGGGGCCAGTCCCGGGCCAGTCCGGGGTCAGTCTGGGGTCAGTCCGGGGTCAGTCCGGGGTCAGTCCGGGGTCAGTTCGGGGTCAGTCCGGGGTCAGTCCGGGGTCAGTCCAGGGTCGTCAGTCCGGGGTCACTCCGGGGTCAGTCCGGGGTCAGTCCGGGGTCCGGGGTCAGTCCGGGGTCAGTCCGGGGTCAGTCCGGGGTCAGTCCGGGGTCAGTTTGGGGTCAGTTTGGGGTCAGTCTGGGGTCAGTCTGGGGTCAGTCCGGGGTCAGTCCAGGGTCAGTCCGGGGTCAGTCCGCGGTCAGTCCGCCATCAGTCCGGGGTCAGTCCGGGGTCAGTCCAGGGCCAGTCTGGGCTCCGTGCGGGGTCCGTGGCCGGGGTCAGTCCAGGGTTCGCCGGGGGTGCGTCGGGAGCCCGGGTCAGTCCGGGGTCAGTCCGGGGTCGGTCCGGGGTCGGATCCGGGGTTTGCCTGAGGTTTGTCCAGGGTCTGTCCGGGGTCAGTCTGGGGCCAGCCTGGGTCAGTCCAGACTGACCGTGGATAGTCTTGGAGCCTGGAGTGACCTGCACGATTGACCGTGCAGACCGACCCTTGAATGACCCCGTGTATATGGAGCCTGGTCGGATCGAATTCAGCGCAGCCGAGCCGACCGACACATTGCGAGGTGCACGCGTTTGTGGGGGCGCCCGAATGGAAAGGAGAGCGGAGAGTATGTTAATGTATGGGAAATGAAAATGCAAGCGGGCCGATCTAGTTTTCGGAATTGCACAAGTCGGGGACCGAAACTTCCGATCTAGTTTAGCCGAGACCTAGTTTCACCGATTCTATTTGTAACGAGCGGAGTGTATGATGATGATGACGGTGATGATGATGCTGCTGCTGTCGATGATGATGATGATGCTGATGATGATGATGATGGTGCTGCTGATGATACACGCGATGATGATGCTGATGCTGGTGATGATGAAGCTGCTGCTGATGATGCTGATGATGATGCTGATGATGAAAATTCTGATGATGATAATTATGATGATGATTTTGATGATGATAGCACTGATAATGCTGCTGCCGATGACGATGCCGACGACGACGATGATGATGATGCTGATGGTTGTGTGATGATGATGATGATGATGATGATGATGATGATGATCATGATGATGATGATGATGATGATGATGATGCTGATGATGATGATGATGATGATGATGGGGGTGGTGGTGATGATGATGTTGATGATAATGCTGATGATGATGATGATGAGGATGATGACGATGATATTGGTGATGATGATGATGCTGTTGTTGATGTTGATGCTGGTGATGATGCTGATGATTGTGATTATGCTGATGATGATGCTGATGGGGAGGTGATGATGATGGTGCTGGTGATAATGATGACGATGATAATGGTGATGATGATGGTGATGAGCACGATGATGATGATGATGATGATGATGATGATGATGATGATGATGATGATGATGATGATGATGATGACGATGATGATGCTGATGCTGATGCTGATGCTGCTGCTGATGATGATGATGATGATGATGATGATGATGAGGAGGAGGAGGAGGAGGAGGAGGAGAAGGAGGAGGAATATGAGGAGGAGGAGGACAAAGAGGAGGAAGAGGAGGAAGAGGAGGAAGAGGAGGAAGATGAGGAGGAAGAGGAGGAAGAGGAGGATCATGGGAAGGTGAAGCGGAATTGGCCAAGGGCCGCATTGAAGGGGTCCTGGGCCATTTTCGGGCCAGTCTTGGGTTGTCTTCGATGGTTCTATCATGATCTTGCGTGCCTTCTGGTGGGGGAGGCGGAGGGGTGGACCCTCGCGAGACTGACGAGGTCAGCCAAGCTGCCCGGGGGTTTCAGGTCCCTCTGGAGATGCTCGACTTGTCGGAGGGCGATCGTGGCGTCTTCATGACGCGTGGTGAACGCTTAGCGGTCGCGACGGCCGCGATGGAAAATGACGGTGGGCACTCGGAGGCGTTGCGGGAGACTGGGCGTGGTGTTGAACACGGGCGTTTTGAACAGGATGGTTTGCTTAGTGCGATTGCGGATCGCCAGTGTGATAAGCAATCGCTACCGCAGAGAGTTTGCATCTTGCGCACATTCTGCCCGTTTTCAGCTGTCAAAGGTTCGTAGCTTCGAGAGCAGGCCGAATGCATTCGTCGGAGTCTGTGCTCAGCCTGACTTGACCTTGTGAGTGCAGCGTCCCTCGATGGCGACTTCACTGCGTGCTGTACCAGAGCCGCATGATGGTAGTGATGATGAGTTCATACGGAGTTGCGCACCGCTCAGCGTGCGCCAGCCCCTCTGGTTCATCGGGCGCCGCGAAGCCCGTGTGCGCGCAACGAGAGCTTGGTAACCAATCATGCTTCGCGGTGCCGTCATGAGCACAGAAAAAAAAACCAGGCCCTCCCAAGCAGCGTCCCCCCAAAGCAGCGGAATATTGTGGCGACGATGGCGAAGGCGAGGACAGTTTGAGGGAGTACGGCAGACACATCAAAAAAGAAAGCGGCCTTCTGGCAGATGCCCCACGGACGTTTCTCGTCCCCTATTGGCCCCAGGGACCCACAGAAGCTCTGGGTGGGGCTTCTCATGGCCCTTACAAAATCGACGACGAATGTCGGAGGATGGCCAGTCGAGACGACGTCGGCCCTATCCCGCCCGGCCCAAATCCTTTCCAACCCCGTCCCCGAATCCCTCCCAGGGTCCATCCTGAACCGCTTTTCCAGGCGGACCCGGCCGTGGCGACGAGATGCCTGTGGGAGGCCCCCCCAAGCCGCCGCTGGCTCGACCAGGCCCTCAGAGACTGCGGCTCCAAGCTCTCTGGCAGGACAGTCTCTCGTCGTGTGTGCCGGCTGGACGGGGGCACTTCGGGAGGACCACGACTCGGCGCTGCAGCTGCGCGGGCTGCCCTACCGCGCGACCCTCGGGGACGTTCGGGCCTTCCTCGGCCGCCACGCGCGGAACCTGAAGGAGTTTGGGGGGGGGGCGCCTCTGCCGAGGTGCAGGGAGGGTCGATCGTCCTCAGGACGTGTGTTAGCCCAGTGTTTGTTTACCCCGTTCGGCCTGTGTCGGCCATCGCTGCACCACGTGCGTCGTATTGAAGGGGTTCGGTGGACCAGCACGTATTGGGGCTGACACGTTCTGAGGGTCATCGAACGGGGACTTGCTGCCACTGGCGTCTTCTTACCTCTGCGTCCTGCACCTTGCTTCGGCACCCGCTTGCCTTGTCGCCTTCTTGCTTCGGCATCTTCTCGCTTGCACCCTGCGTCGGCGCTCGTCTTGGAGTCCCCTTCCTGCACCCTGCGTCGGCACTCTCCTTGCACCTGGCGTCGGCGCTCCTCCTGCACCCTGCGTCGGCGTCGGCGCTCTTCTCGGCGCCTTCTTGCTTCGGCATCTTATCGCTTGCACCTTGCGTCTTGCTGCCGCCGCGCTGGCCGCGGCCGTGGCCGAGGGCAGCGCCCCGGCGGAGGCGCGGGCCCGCGCCTGGCCCGCCTGCGCTCCGCGGCTGTGGCCCTCCAGGGCCTGGGGAGGAGGGGGAGGAGGAGGAGGAGGAGGAGGAGGAGGAGGAGGAGGAGGAGGAGGGAGGAGAAGGAGGAGAGGAGGAGGAGGAGGAGGAGGAGGAGGAGGATGAGGAGGAGGAGGGAGGGAGGAGGGAGGGAGGAGGAGGGAGGATGAGGAGGAGGAGGAGGAGGGAGGAGGGGAGGAGAGGAGGAGGGAGGAGGGAGGAGGAGGAGGGAGGAGGGAGGAGGGAGGAGGGAGGGGGGGAGGGAGGGAGGGGGGAGGGGGGAGGGGGAGAGGAGGGAGGGGGGGAGGGAGGGAGGGAGGGGGGGAGGGAGGGAGGGAGGGAGGGAGGGAGGGAGGAGGAGGAGGAGGAGGAGGAATAATATTAATAATGCTAATATTAATGATACTCGTAATCATAATAGTAATATTAATATTAATAATAATACTAGTAGTAGTAGTAGTAGTAGTAGTAGTAGTAGTAGTAGTAGTAGTAGTAGTAGTAGTAGTAGTAGTAGTAATACTAATATTATTAATATTGATAATAAGACTCATAAAAATGATACTCAGAATAATAATAATAATACGAAGAATATTACGAATAATAATGATACGAAGAATAGTCAGACGAATAAGCATAAGAAGAATACTAATAATAATAATGCGAATACTAATACTAAGAAGACTACAAACACGAATAATAATCATAATAATAGAAAGAGCGTGTTCTACCGCTGCTGGCGGAAAACCGGGGGGGGTCACTACCGGTTCGAACCCCTCCCCCCCCCCCCCTCCGGAAAACCGGGGGGGGTCACTACCGGTTCGAACCCCTCCCCCCCCCCCCCAGCTCATCATGAAAAGGGGGGGGGTCACTACCGGTTCGAACCCCCCCCCCCCCCCCCCTCCGGATCCGGAAAACCGGGGGGGGTCACTACCGGTTCGCCCCCCCCCCCCCTCGAAAACCGAGTGGGGGTGCGGACAGTGGTGGGGACGGTGTTGGTGGGGACAGTGGTGAGGGGACAGCGGGACAGTGGTGGGGACAGTGGGACAGTGGGACAGTGGTGGGGACGGTAGTGGTGGGGACAGTGGTGGGGACAATGGTGGGAACAGGGGGGGACAGTGGACAGTGGTGGTGACGGTGGTGGTGGGGACAGTGGTGTGGGGACAATGGGAATGAGGTGGAAACAGTGGGACAGTGGAGGGTACAATGGTGGTGGGGACAGTGGTGAAGGCGGTGGCGAGGACGGCGGTGGGACAATGGGACAGAGGTACAGTGGGGACAGTGGTGGGGACAGTGGGGACAGTGGTGGGAACAGTGGGACAGCTCAGTGGGACAGCGGAGGAGTCAGTGGGACAGTGGGGATAGTCGGGCAGTGGTTGGGGCCGTGGAGACAGTGGGGAGAGTGGAACCGTGGTGGGAACAGTTCTGGGGACAGCGGGGACAGTGCGACAGTGGTGGGGCCACTGGTGGGGACAGTAGGGGCGGTGGTGGAACCAGTGGGGACAGCGGTGGTGAGGACAGTGGTGCTGGGAACACCAGTGGGGGATGTGATGCGGACGGTGGTGGGGACCGGGAGTCGTTTGCTGGCGGTGAGTAGGGGGGGGGGGGGGGGAAGGTTCGAACCGGTAGTGACCCCCCCGTTTTCCGGATCCGGAGGGTAGGGGGGGGGGGGGAGGGGTTCGAACCGGTAGTGACCCCCCCGGTTTTCGAGCGGGAGGGGGGGGGGGGGGAAGGGTTAGGGGAGGGGGGGGGTTTTGCCGGGGGAGGGGGGGGGGGAGGGGTTCCAGCAGGGGGGGGGGGATTTTCGGAGGGGGGGGGGGGGCGACCCCTGGGCTCCGGAGGAAAAGGTTGGCAATTTTCCACAGTAAAGCGGCGGTGGATCACGCTCTCTAATAATACTACTAGTATTAATAAGATTAATAATAAGACGAACACTACTACTACTAATAATAATAATAAGAATAATAATAAGCAGAAGAAGACGAGCAGTACTAATACGAATATTAAAAGTAATATTATTAAGAAAAAGAGTACCACGAATAACAAGAATAATACTAAGACCAATATTATTAATAATAATAATAACAACAATAATAATACGAATGCTAATGCTAATACTAACACTAATAATAATGATAAACATACTACTAATACTAATACTAGTAATACTAATAATATTAATAATAATAGTAGTACTAATAATACGAGTACTTATAATACTCATGATATTCATATTTTTTATTGGTAATAATACTATTAATATTCATGCTAATAATAATAGTGCTAATCTTACTATTAATAATACTACTACTAATATTATTAATAATAATAATGCTAATAATAATAGTAACGAACATACTAATACTACTAATAATAACACTAATAAAGCTAGTATTATTAATAATAGTAATAATAAGAATACTAATCATATTAATAATAATAATAGTCATAATAGTAATAATAGTAATAATCATACTAGTAATAATAATAATCATACTAGTAATATTAATCATATTAAGAATACTAATCATACTAGTATACTAGTATACTAGTCATACTAGTATACTAGTCATACTAGTATACTAGTCATACTAGTAGTAATAATACTAATAGTCATACTAGTATACTAGTCATACTATTAACAATAAGAATACTAATCATATTAATAATAATAATAATCATACTAGTAATAATAGTATTAATAATGGTAATACTAATCATAATAATAATAGTAATAGTAATAATAACAATGATAATACTAATAATCATAATAATAATGATGATAATAATACTATCAATAATAATAATAATAATAATTTTAATGACAATAATAATATTAATAATATTCATAATAGTACTAATAATACTAATAATACTAATACTAATAATACTAATAATAATCATAATACTAATACTAATACAAATAATAGTAATAATAATAATAATAATAATAATTATCCTAATACTAATAATACTAATCATAATAATAATAGTAATAATAATAATGATAATAATAGTAATAATATTACTATTAATAGTAATAAGAACAGCAAGAATAATAGGAGAGGAGGAGGAGGAGGAGGAGGAGGAGGAGGAGGAGGAGGAGGAGGAGGAGAGGAGGAGGAGGAGGGAGGAGGGAGGAGGGAGGAGGAAGGAGGGAGGAGGAGGGAGGGAGGAGAGGAGGAAGGGAGGAGGGAGGAGGAGGAGGGAGGGAGGAGGAAGGAGGAGGAGGAGGAGGAGGAGGAGGAGAGGAGGAGGAGGCGGAGGAGGAGGAGGAGGGGAGGAGGGAGGGAGGGAGGAGGAGGGAGGAGGAGGAGGAGGAGGAGGAGAGGAGGGGGAGGGGAGAGAGGGAGGAGGAGGAGGAGGAGGAGGAGGAGGAGGAGGAGGAGGGGGGATGGAAGCAGGAGGAGGAGGTGGAGGAGGAGAAGGAGGAAGAGGACAACTATAATAATGAGAATCGTAAGCATATCACGAATAATAAGCACAGTACTACGAACCATCATAACATTAATACTATTAGTAAGAAGACGAAGGAGACACACATGAATCCATAGCAATGAGAAGAAGAAGGGTACTACCAAGAACAACACAAAACGCAAACTTGTAATACTACGAATACGAATCTGAATAATACTACGAACCAGAAGAACAACACTTACAGCCACTTTGATAAGAATACTCCCAATCATATTAAGAGGAGGAGGAGGAGGAGGAGGAGGAGGAGGAGGAGGAGGAGGAGGAGGAGGGAGGAGGAGGAGGAGGAGGAAGGAGGAGGAGGAGGAGGAGGAGGAGGAGGAGGAGGAGGAGGAGGAGGAGTTGGAGGAGGAGGAGGAGGACCAGTGTAAACCCAAGAGTCATCAACGATGTTGGAATAAGCCCTCCCTCCAAACTCCCTCTTCAGAAGCCCCTACAACGGTTTAAGTCCACTGAGGGAACTGCCTCGTTAGAAGACAACCGTTTGAAGACCCTGGAGCATGCCAAAACAGTGTTCTCGAGATTTCAACGTCACGGATCAACCAGACCGTTGCGCCTTGACGACTTTGAATCGCGCCAGAACACCGTTCCTGAGACTCCAACACAGCGAACCAACGTAACTGTTGCGCACTCATCATCCGGAATCCTTACAAAACGTTGTTTCTGGTACGCTGATCATGGGGCTCCCCTGGAACTTTTGAAATTTTATGAAGGAATGTGCGCGGTGCTGAAGCGAGAGCTACATTTTGAAAAGGAACCGCCCTCAATCCGTGAAACTCTTGCGAAAGGTGAAAACGAATGTGCGCGGCGCCAAGGCGAGAGCCACATTTTGAAAACAAGCCGCCCCCAATCCGTGAAACTCTCGCAACATTTTAATACGATTGTGCGCGGCGCTAAGGCGAGAGCCACACGTGGAAAATGAGCCGCCCCCAATCCGTGAAGTTAACGAGTGTGCGCGACGCTACGGCGAGGTCTACATTTTGAAAACGAGCCGCCCTCAACCCCGTGAGTCTCTTGCAAATTTTCACAACGAATGTGCGCGGTGCTATGGCGAGAGCCACATTTTGAAAACCGCCCGCCCTCAATTTGTGAAGCTCTTGTAAATTCTATAACGAATGTGTGCGGCGCTGAGACGAGAGCCACATTTTGAAAACCACCCGCCGTGAATCCGTGAAACTGTTGTCATTTTTAAGCTTCAGGGTCATAAATATGGAGGGCCCCCCAGGCGAAACGCCCAGCCCGCCCTTAAACTGGCCTCGGGATGCGATCGGGGGAAGGTATTTATGAGGACCAGTGTAAGCCCAAGAGCCACCAACGATGTTGAAATGAACCCTCCCTCCAAGCTCCCTCTTCGCAGGCCCTTACAGCAGTTTGCTTCCATTGAGGAAACTGCCTCGTTGCAAGATGACCGTTTGAAGGACATGAAGCATGCCAACACATTGTTCCCTGGATCACGCCACGGATCGACATGACTGCTGCGTCCCGACGATCTGGAATCGTGCCCGAACGCCACGTTTGGGACTTCAGCACCGCGAATCAACATAATTGTTGCGCCCGCATAATCCCGAATCCTTCTAAAACGCTGCTTCTGGTAGGATAATGATGGGAACCTGTGGGACTTTTGCAAACAGGTGAAAACGAATGTGCGCGGCGCTAAAGCGAGAACCACACTTTGAAAAAAAGCCGCCCCCAATCCGTGAAGCGTGTGCAACTGTTTAAAAAGAATGTGCGCGGCGCTAAGGCGAGAGCCACACGTTGAAAACGAACCGCCCTAAATCCGTGAAGCTCATGCAAACTGTTAAAACGGGTGAACGCGGCGCTGCGACGAGAGCCACATTTTGAAAACCGCCCGCCCTCAATCCGTGAAGCTCTAGCAGATTTTTAAACGACGGTGCGCGGCGCTAAGGCGAGAACGCATTTTGAAAACCACCCGCCCTCCATCTGTGAAGCTGTTGCCATGTATAAGCTTCAGAATCATGAATGGTGAGGCAGTCTCAGGCGGCACGCCCCGCCAGCCCTGAAAGCTGACCTCGGGGTTCGGCAAGGAGAAGTGCTGTATACGAAAAAAAGAATGAATGCATGGAGGAGGAGGATGTGGTGGAGGAGGAGGGGGAGGAGGAGGAGGAGGAGGAGGAGGAGGAGGAGGAGGAGGAGGACGGTGAGGAATTGAGGCTTCCTGGGGGCCTGTTGGGAGCTTCCTGAACGCTTCTTGGGGGTTTCGTGGGGGCCTGTTGGGGGCTCTTTGGCCGTCTCGGGGGACTCTTGGCCCGTCTGACGCCTATGGAGGCCGCCATGGGGGCCTCTCTAGGCCGCGTTGGTGCTCTATTGGGGCGGTTCACGGCCGTCGTGGGGTTCTCTTGGCAGCCTTCTGGGCGATCTTTGGGTTCTTTTGGGCCGACTTCGGGGCCTCTTGGGTTCCTCTTGGGTTGTTTTAGAGCTACCACGTGGGTCTCTTGGAGGCTTCTTGGGCGGTTTTGGACGGTCGGAAACCCGAACAAATGAGCGTCCCAGCAATTTTTCAAATATCTAAAGCAATCGATGGTTTTGCCCCCCCCCCCCCCCCCTCCCCTCGGCCTCTCGAGGGGGCCTGCTGGAGACCTCTTGGGCCGTCTCGGGAACTGCTTGATCTGTCTTGGTGCTGTCTTGGGACCCTCTTGAGCCGTCTTAGGTCATCTCATCCTCATCTTGGCTGCCTTGACCACCGTCCTCTCCCAAGAAGGCCTCAAGCCAGATCAAAGGGCCCCCCACGATGGCTCAAGGGGTCTCCAAGAGGCCTTCCAGGAGAGCCCGAGAAGGTCAACACCATTTAATTCTCCAAGGTTCTTGAAGAATTTTAAAGTTCTGGCATGTTTGGGTTTCCGACCGCTCAAAACAGCCCAACGTGCCTCTTTGGGCCGTCTGGTTGCCCTCTTGGGCGCTTCAAGGCCGTCTTGGGGTCCTCTTTAGGGGGCGCCTTGGGCGAACTTTGGGTCCTCTTGGGCCGATTTGGGGCTCTCTTGGGGGCCTCTCGGGCTGTCTTGGAGCTATCTTGGAGGCCTCTTGGAAGCCTCTTGGGACGTCTTACCTGGACAGGCGCTAACCTCAACGTCTTTCAACATCCTAACGAGAACGATTGGTTTTGGCCCCCTCGGGCTCTCCAGGAAGGCCTCTTGGAGTTCTCTCGGGCCGTCCTGGGGACCTCTTGGGCCGTCTTGAGGTCCTCTTGGGCTAGAGCCGTTTTGAGGCCCTCTTGAGAGGTTCTTGAGCTGTCTGGGGCCATGTTGAGCTGTTTTGTTGTCGTCTTGGTTGTCTTGGAAACCGTCTTGGAGGCTATCTTGGCCGTTTGGAAGCCGAACATACCGCCAGACAAAAATTTCAGAAGGGCGTTTTCCAGGTATGCGCGCGTCGAATGGGGGGTCCCGTAATACTCTACATAACCTCCCAGATAACAGACTATCATTCAACACACGCCCATTCCGTGCAGGCACGGTGGCGGATTCTTCTTCTTCTTCTTCTTCTTCCTCCTCCTCCTCCATGCCCCCCCCCGCACGGGGGGGGGAAATATCAGCTGGCGCAGCCTCGCCGAGGCCGCCACGAGGCATGGCGGAGGGGGGGGGGCAGCCGCCACTGTGCCAGGCCCTGTGGAGCGTGCGCTGCGCCCCCTCCTCTGCGGAATCTGCGCCCCTGCTCGCCGGCTTCTTCCCTAAGAAGAAAGAGATCCTCGTGCCACACCCCCCTCCCTCGTCCTCCTCCTCCTCCTCCTCCTCCTCTTCCTCCTCCTCCTCCTTCTCCTCCTCCTCCTCCCTCCTCCCTCCTCCTCCTCCTCCTCCCCTCGTCCCCGTCACCTCCTCCTCCTCCTCCTCCTTCTCCTCCTAATCCTCCTCCTCCTCCCCCTCCTCCTCCGCCTCCTCCTCCTCTTCCTCCTTCTCCTCCTCCCGTTCTCTCTGTGCTGCAGCGTCGTAGTCGTGCCGCATAGAACAGCATCGGAGCCGTCTGGGGGTCTGAGGTGGCCCAGAATTATTTCCGCCAGCAAGAAGGGGGTCGAGGTTCGAAGTTCTGGGTTCGGGGAGTTCTTTTTGCTTTTTCGTCTCCGGGGCGCCGTTTTCGGCCCTCGGACCGTGAAAAACGGATCCTTGGCGAAACACGTTTCACCAGATGGATCCCGGGAGGGGTCCGGGTTCCGATTTTGAGCGGATTCGGCCTCATCGCCGCCCCCTCCCCACCGATGTTCTAGGGCTCCAACCAGTTCAGATCCCCCAGCCGCCCCTTCAAGATTCGTTGGAGGAGGAACAGGCATCGATACCTGGAGAGCCCTCGTCGCCACGGCTGGATTCTCCTCGACATTCTTGTCAGGGCGCACCCCTGGAGAGGTCCGTGGAGTAGTGGTATCGGTATTTTTTGTTCTCCCATTTCGGAGGTCCTCGCGGCCTCCTTCCGTTGGCCATGGGCCCCCTTTCTCTACTCTGCGACAACTTCGCCATTTTCGCCGCCCTTCTATCGAAGAGACAGACATGGTAGACCATAAACTTTCGAAGTGCCATGCTCTCTCTCTCTGATTTCTGCTCTCCGCTCTCATCTTTCACAGTCTTAGCTGCCCCGATACGCCCGTTCTGGAGCGCAACACGTACTGTGTTCAAAAGGTCCGTGTTCACACGCTGCGTGTTGGCTCCACGTGTTGGCCCACGTTTTGGCGAACGTGCTGCGCCAGGCGTACGTTTTCAGTCTACGTGTCGAGCTCTGCGTCAACACGCTACGGATTGCGTGTTGCGTATCGGGGCGGCTAAGTTCACAGTCTTCCCGCGGAGCAGGTGCAACGGCGGGCCCCCCCCTCGGGAAGCTGGTCTGCAGACGTGGCATCTCGGCGTGTCTCGGGGCCGTCAGGCGGCGTCTTGGAAGCTCTCTCTTGGGCCGTCGTCGTATTCTTGACGCTTCGGATGTCCCCACCAGCCCATCCAGAAACGATGCCCAGGGGAGCTGTCGGGATGAGGGGCGTAGATGAGCGTACGTCAAGGCAAAGAGGCCGACAATGGTGACCTTCGAGACCTTTGGAAGCCTCTTGCATGCGTTTTTTTGCCATTCTGGAGCTCTTCTGTGACCTTTGTGAGACATTCGGAGCCCTCTTGGGGTCAGGCGAATCGAAAAAGAAGGTACGGCATGCGCATCAACTTTCGGAGGTCCGTGCTGATCCAGTGGGTCGGCGATGGACCCCCCCTGGCGGCGCCTTCGGCGCGCGAAGCGCGCCAGGGATGGGGGTTCAGTGCCGACTGGAGAAATCCGCGCGGGCCTTCTACAGGAGGGGGGAGAAGGGGGAGGGTAATGGCTCCGTGGAGCTCACATATTGATACGGGAACCCGCGTCTCGAAACAGCGAACGTCAGAATGTCGTCTCCCCTTGATCTTTCCCCTTTCATCCTCTCCCTTTTACTTTTTTTTCCATTTCTCGCCCCTGCCCCTGCGCTCCCGGTCCGTCCGCATCTTTCCATTATTTGCAGGACGACGCGAGTGGCCAGTCCATCCACCTGGTGATGAATCGCGATGGGTGCCCCAATAGCCCAAAGCAGGAAGGCGCAACAGAAGGGCACGGTGAGCAACTCTATGGGAACAACGGAGGGGATGACAACGATAGTCCGATAGGATGAGGAGGAGGAGGGCGAGGAGGAGGAGGAGGCGGAGGAGGAGGAGGAGGAGGGGGAGGGGGAGGGGGAAGGAGGAGGAGGAGGAAGAGGAGGAAGAGGAGGATGAGGAGAAGGACCAGCGTAAACCCAAGACGCATCAACGATGTTGGAGTCAACCCTTCCTCCACGCTCCCTCTTCGTAGGCCCCTACGAGGATTGATTTCCACTGGGGGAAGTGCCCCCTTAGGAGACAACCGTTTGAATATCCTGAAGCGTGCCAGGACACCATTCTCGGGACTCCCAACGCCACGAATCAACCTGACTGTTACGGCTTGACGATCCTGAATCGTGCCAGAACGCCGTTCCTGGGACTTCAACACAGCGAATCAACGTAACGGTTGCGCCCTGCCAGTCCCGAACCATTCCAAATTACAAATTCTGCTACGCCGGCCATGGGAATTCGTGAAACTCATGCAAATGTTTAAAGACGAGTGTGCGCGGCGCTAAGGCGAGATCCACATTTTGAACTGAACCGCCCTCAATCCGTGAAGCTCTTGCGAATTTGTAAGACGAATGTGTGCGGCGCCAAGGCGAGAGCCACATTTTGAAAGCCGCCCGCTCTCAACCCGTGAAACTCTTGCATTTTCTTCGAACGAATGTGCGCGGCGCTAAGACGAGAGCCACATATTGGAAGCGGCCCTCCCACCATCTGTGAGACTGTTACCATTTGTCAAGCTTCTGGACGACAGAATGTAAGGAAGCCTCAGGCGAAGCTTCCACCCCGCCCTTCCGATTGACCATGGGGTGCGGCAGGGAGGATTTTTTCATAAGGAAAGGAATTGAGGATGATGATGATGAGGAGGAGGTGAGGAGGAGAGGAATGAGGAGGAGGAGGAAGAGGAGGAGGAGGAGGAGGAGAAGGAGGAGGAGGAAGAGGAGGAGGAGGAGGAGGTGGAGGAGGAGGAGGAGGAGGGAGGAGGAGAAGGAGGAGGAGGAGGAGTATCTTGAGGATGATGATGCCGATAATGATGCTGCTGCGGATGATGGTGACGATGATGATGCTGCTGATGATGATGATGATGCTGATGATGCTGATGCTGATGCTGATGATTCTGATGATGAGGATGATGATGAAGATGATGAGGATGATGAGGAGGAGGATGACCAGGAGGCGGAAGAGGAGTATGATAATACGACGCGGGCGAGTAGTAGGAGGAGTAGGAGGATGAGGAGGAGGAGGACGAGGAGGAGGCGGAGGAGGATGAACAATTATGATGATGCTGCAGCTGCTGCTGCAGCTGCCGCTGCTGCTGCTGATGGTGATGACGATGATGATGACGATTCTGATCAGGACGATGACGACGACGGCGATGGCGACGACGACGACGGCGACGACGATGATGATGCTGCTGTTGATGATGCTGATAGTGATGATGATGCTGTTGCTGCTGATGATGCTGAAGATGCTGATGATGGTGATGATGATGCTGACAATGATGCTGACGATGATGATGCTGCTGATGATGATGATGCTGATGCTGCTGATGATGAGGATGCTGATTCTGATGATACTGTTGATACTTATGATGTTGTTGACGATGCTGATGCGGCTGTCGATGAAAATGGTGATACCGATGATGTTGAGGATGATGCTGACGATGCCGATGGCGATGATGCGAGTGCTTCTGCTGCTGATGACGTTACTGGTGCTGCGGATGCTGATGTTGAGGATGCTGCTGCTGTTGATGATGCTGCTGTTGATGGTGATGCTACTGTTGAGGTTGATTATGATGATGGTGGTGTTGGTGATGATCATGCTGCTGACGGCGGCGATAACGATGACGACGATGATGATGTTGATGATTGTTATGATGCGGGTGGTGGTGGTGATGGTGATGATGACGATGCTGAAGATGACGATGGCGGTGCTGATGCATGAGCATGATGGTTTTGGCTGTGGTGATGGCGATCATGATGGTGAGGATGTCCATCGTGATATGGAGGATGAGGATGATGAGGATGAGGAGGGCAGGAGGATGAGGCTGATAAGGAAGAGGATGAGGCGTGTGGCAAGGGGGAGACGCACGACGGGCAGGAACACCTGAACATTTCGCAGGGGCCCTTTCCCCTGCCCCTCCTTCTTCCTCCCCTCCTGTTCCGCCTCCTCCTCCTCCTCCTCCTCCTCCTCCTCCTCCTCCTCCTCCCCCCTTCTCCTCTCCCTGCTTCAAGTGGGGCAGCAAACCACCTTCCTCAACCACATCGGCGTGGTCCCCTTCTGTCGCGTTGGCTGCGATGCTGATGCACGTATGTTGCAAGTACTCACCATGGCGCATGGTAGTGATTTCTGTCCCCCTCGTGGTGTCCAGCCTCCTAGAGCCGAGTGTTTTTTCTTCTGCCAGGGAAAGTTCATCAGAAAGAAGGCGTTGACCGCTCATGTAGGTTCTCAGCCCTTTCATGCAAGTAGGCTGGCATCCAAATTAGTCAGCTCGTCTGCGTGCCCGATCTGTGCAAGGCAGTTTTTCGTCCACCGAACTTGTCCAGGACCGCTTGATGTACAGCTCCCCAAGATTTTACTACCTTGCGCAAGTGCATGTGACACCATTCAAGGAGGAACGGCAGGATAAGGTTATTCAGGACAGCAAGACACATCGCACCATAGAGCGTTCGCAACGTGTTCCGAGGAGAGGTGCGAGAGTTCGTGCGTGTAGGCAACGTGCTACTAAGCCACACTGTTTGCAGAAGTGTGCTCTTATGCAGGCTGAGGCAGCCGCTATCGCTCGTGGTGCTGAATACAAGTTCGGCTCAGCAGCGATCTGTTTCATCCCGACAGATGGAGCTCCACTCGAGGAATGCGAACATGAGCCAGGCCAGGAACATATGCAGGATGACCTCTACCCAATTGCTCCTTCCCTCCACAAGATGAAACTTTACATGAATACCCTTATCGTCGGGCAGATCTCGAGGTTGCCCGCACGGTTGGCATCGTTCACGAGTTGCGGTGCACCGTCGTGGCCTTCCTGCACTTCTTTTTGGGTGCTCGGCGAACCGGTGATTTCCAGGAGTGCCTTGAGTTTGCCACCTCAGTCGCGCCCTACAAGGCGATTCTCATATCAGTGGATGTGGCACTTGATCCAGTATTAGGTGATTTGTCACAGCACACCTTCATTCGAGGATGGCTCAAGTATATTGAAGATGGGTCTGCTATTGGTGTTGTTTGGGGCCCTCCTTGTGAGTCCTGGAGTGCAGCGCTATGGCATCGCGATTGTCCTAGGCCCCAAGGATGCCACGGCCCATTACTGAAAACTGAGTGGCAGCGCAAGAACTTCGGGATCCAACTAGGCTTCGCGCCACTAGCACGGATCACAAATTTACGTTTCGCCGACGATGTCTTGCTCTACGCCCCCAGCTTACGACAACTTTTCTGCTTGCTCCGAGGTGTACAATCCCAAGCCAAGACATGCAGTTTGGCACTGCACCCGGACAAGACCAAGATCCTGACGAACGTCAGCCGGAGAGAGGGGTGAACAATTCCTCATGTCGACATCAACGGCGAACGCTTCCAAATTATGCGTTCCGACCAGAGCACGAAGTATGTAGGAAGGAAGCTTACTTTCCACGACTTCCACGAGACAGAGCTACGCAATAGGATTGCCGCAGGATGGGGTTGCTTCAACCAGTTAAGATACGAGCTGACACACAAGCGTTTCCCACTCCACAGTCGACTGAGGCTGTTCAACGGCACAATCACAGCATCAGTGATGTACGGGTGCTCCTCTTGGACCCTCGCCAGCGACATGCTTCTCACTTGACGGCGTGCACAGCGGAGGATGCTCAGGCTTGTCATCGGGATGCCAAGGCGTCGCAATTAACAAAACCAGGCGACACTGACACCAACGAGGCGACCAGCGCCGACGCAGCAGACTCCCCCATCCACCACGACAGAGCCGACGACAGAGAAGACGACGACGGGTTGGAACCATGGAAAGAATTCATACGAAGATCGACGCACGCAGCCCTAGAACATGCTCGGCGCGCAGGCGTAGAGGACTGGCTTACGGTATACTTCACACGGGAATGGCGGTGGGCATCGCGCGTCGCAACCCACGACTACGACAGATGGACGCGGCTCTCACTACAATGCACCCCGAACGCCCACGACCCACGCCAAACCCTACGACGCCACGGAGGACAACGGAAAAGATGGGATGCCGAAGTCACACAATTCGTACGCACAGTCGCTACACACGAGGGATACGACGACCACAAAAGGTGGATACACATTGCGACGGACAAGGAAGCATGGTCGGCGTTGGAGCCGAAATTTCTGGCTTATGTCAAGTGTGGGGATTGTGTGCGAAACTCCCACTTCACGGTCTGAGTCCTTCCTCCTCCTTCCTTCCCCCTCGACTAAGGTTCTTTCTCGGCGCTCCGGCGCCACCGCCGGGCTCTCGTAGGGCCGTCCCCGCCGGGACGACTGACCGGCGCCTCGCCTCGCCTCACCTCACGGCCCATTACGTACTTCAAGACGTTCTTGGTGTCGTCCAGAGGTGACTCTTGCGCAGCATGAGCAATTTCTCAACTGTTGATCGATGCCTATACGTTTCTACTACACGGTATCATTATCCACGGGGCCTGTGGTATCAAAAAGGGCACCCCGGAAACGCCTTGTGGGAACCCCATGTTTCTCCGACTTGGCATGTTCGGACTGCTAGAGCGATCAGCTCAGCACCCTGCTCTGAGAGGGTCTCTTTCGAGCAGTGCGTGTGTGGCCAGCTGCCTCGCTCCCCCACCACCTTGCTCGCCATCCGCCTCCCCGCTCGTAAATCTCGATTGCGCGAACGTGGCTGGCAGCGCCGCTGTGATTATGGGAGGCGGGCCCACACAATTTTGATGGGGAAGATGGGGAAGGGAAGTTCCGTGCAGCGCCCAGGAAGCGCTATCCCAAGGATATGTGCACTGACGTGGCCGCCATTATTATCGACTACCCTGCTTGTTCGTGCAAGTACGCCATGCCTTAGCAGAGATGTCAGGCGGATGGGTTGGATGGTTTCTTTGCCCCACTTGATCCGTGCCGCGATGATGGAATCTTGGTAGAGGACTACGTCCACTTTCGCATCCCACAGATGAGAGACACGAGATTTGATCTCCCTGCTCATCCCTCTCCCGTCCATCCGCCTCCAGGACCGAATAGTGAAGATTACCATCCCTCTTGCTCCCAGCCTGTTCCTCCTCTGCGGGCCCCACCAGCGAATGCGAGGGGGCCTGCCCTACCTTGGCAAGGCCCCTCTGCCTTGGCCCCCTCTGCCCTCCACGCCGGCGCAGGAGCGGGGGCAGTGAGCCTGACGGAGAGGACCATTCGAAACAGGACAGAGGCCGCCCGACGTCGGGCGGCCAGACGCGCCGCCCCGCGACTCCTCGAGCTGGGCCAGCTCCAGCTCACGCATTTCTTCAGAGCCACGCGCGGCCCCATTTCCCTGGAGGCTGAGGCGGGTGCTTCTCTGACCTCACGTTGCAACACCCCCCTCTTCCAGTGTCGCAAGCAGGAACTGTCATGGACACAGCGTTCGATCCCAGTGTTCCCAGAGTTCCTCCCTTCCCTCCTCCCTCCTCCCTCCTCCCTCCTCCTCCTGCCTCCCCCCTCTCCCCCTCGCCCGCGCCGCCCCCTTAGCGCCACGCAGCGGGGGGGCGCCGCCCGTCGCACGACGCCCGAGGCGCCCGTCGGGCTTCGCCAAGGTGCAGCTGAACTCGCCCCAGGCGGCCCACGCCGCGCGGGACGAGCTCAACAACAAGTCGATGGAGGCCGCCCCTCCTCGAGATTCGGTCCTCCTCATCGATCCTCCTTCTCGAACTTTCTCTTCGATGCTTTTCGGCCCTCCCCCAGGCCTGCGATTTGCTCTGAGCTGATGTTCCGAAAGAGAGGGGCGAGGAGGGATGATGCTGACGTCGGAGGAGAAAAAGGGTACTGATACCGCTACCCCTGCCTCGTTTTCGCTCTTTTGGAGGCCTCCTGGGTGGCCCTCGTCGCCACGGCTGGATTCGCTTCGAACTTGTGAGAGCTCATCCTGGGAGAGCTCCGGGGAGCAGCGGTGTCGGTATGTTTTGGTTCCTTCCAGCACCACCGTGCGCGCACCGCCTTGTGTTTGCAGGGGCAACGACAAGGGGGTACATGAGGCTTCGATTTTCGAGGCTTTCTTTTTTGCTGGTTTTCGTATTTTTTTGGCGTCGGGACGCGTTCCAGCGGCCCCGCCTCGTCGAAAGCGTTCCCAGGGTGCCCGAATCGTCCCAAACTGCCGGCAGAGAGCGGAGTTATGACCCGAAAACCAGGGGCAACGCAAGCGTTGCTTCCTGTACGTCGCGGAGGGTTGCATACAGCTGGGCGGATTTGGGCGTGAGGGGTGTGCCTGGAAAGGGTTTCAGCGCACGGCAGATGGCGTTTTTCGAGCGTTGCCCTCTGGCGTCCGGGCGTTCTATCATCGATTTGATAAGAGCTGAAGACGGTGTCGCTACGGAAGTGTCGCATCCAGATGCAGCGGGAAAACAAGGATGCGGGGCTTGTCCCTTTCCTTCCTCGGATCTTGGGCCTCATAGCCGGTAGTAGTCGTGTCGTGGTTTTCACCACGTGTTGTAGAGGTGTCCACTCCGTGCGCTTTGACCGTGTTTGCGGCATGATAGATGTCTGCAAGCACCGTTTTTTAGTTAAGTTATATCTATACTCGGACCTAAGTCGGACTCTACCAAGGATCCAGTCATGGACCCACTACATATCAACATGTATTGCATACGTGCTTATATACATATATGTTAGCCAGCGTGGACCCTGTACACCGTTTTCTTGCAATATGTGCGGCGCGATCGAGGTGGTGCAATCAATGTGATGCAATCTAAGATGTGCAATCCATGTGGTGCAGTCGATGTGGTGCAACACGTGCACCGTAATGCAAATCAATATAAGGTATAGACAAGCAATGCACATCACTGCAAAATAATGTAAAGCAATGCAAAGCAATGCCGTGCGGCAATGCCGTGCGGCAAAGCCGTGCAAAGCAATGCAGAGCAACGTGATTGCAATGCAATGCAATGCAATGCAAAGCAATACAATGGAATGCAGTGCAATGCAATGCAGTACAAGGTGATTGCAATGCACAGCAATGTGATTGCAATACTATGTGATGCAACGTAATGCGATGCAATCCAATGCAGTATGATGTAATAGCAATGCAAATCAATGTGATTGCAATGCGATGTGATGCAAAGCAATGCAATGCAATGCGAATGCCCTATGATGAAATGCGGTTGAAATGCAACAAGAATAATAATAATAATAATAAGAAGAAGAAGAAGAAGAAAAAGAGCCGCGCCCGGACGGCGCATCGGCAGGAGGTGTGCACATGCACACGAAGAACATGTCATTGAGCCTCGGCCGGCCAGCTGGCCACCTCTTGCAAGCTTCGCGCAAATGGCGCGCGAGGGTAAGCAGCAACACTCCGTCTGCAGAGGGCGGGTTGGGGGGGGCGGGGAGGGGAGGGAGGAGGGAGGCGAATGGGCAGAGCGCGGTGACTCATCGCAGTCACACTGAGTGCTTACGATATTTTTTGACAGCTGCATCCCATTCCCGTGGAGAAGAGTTCACTAACATCTGCAAGCGGTCGGGGTCGTCTCCTGCGACTCTCAGCACGCGGGCGTGCATGTAGCTGGTCCATTGCAATCGCGTTCTGTCTCGGTTCTTCAGGGGCCGCTAGTCCCGTGGCATCAAAGAGTGCGCCTCGCCTGTCTGGAAAACCATTGCTTTCGGCAGCGATTGCGAAGGTGCCCTCGCTGATTTACCATGATACTTAATTTGTCCGGCTTGAAGCACGATCCCTTCCATTGTCAGTTATACGATTGGAGACACAGCCTAAGTACTATGATTGTAATGCAACGGGGGAGTGCAACGGTGCGGTGGCGACGGGCGGAAGGGGCGTCGGGGCCGCACACGGGCCATGTGTTGGGACAACCTGTGCGGCGACGGACGGGAATGAGGCGGCCCCAGTTCTTGAGAAGAAAGTAAATAACCCAACGTGCAAGTATCGTTCGGGGAATCTCTCCCTCCCTCTCTCCCTCCCTCTCTTAGCCGCATATATATATATACACATTTATACATATAAACGTATGCTTATAACACATGTACATGGATCTGTCGATCTCACTATCTATCTATCAGGGCAGACATCGGGACGCATCGGGAAAACGTATCTCGATGTGTGTCTCTCTATGCTTTCAACCAGCACCACGCCATCATTCTATTTGTTTATGTATGTATCTATGTATATACGACCGTACCCCTTTGGCTCAAGCCATGTGACTCAAGCCGCTTTGGTTCGAGGGAACCCGAGCTGGCTTGCTAGGCTGCGGCCAGGAGCTTGCCCCTTGGCTCGGGGCCTGCCCCTCGGCCCCGGCCTTCGGCCTGCGAGAGTGGGGACGGGGCCTCCCCTCCCTCCTCATTCCCGCTCCGCCTGGCCATGCTGCTCGGGGAGCCACTCGCGGTTCGGCGCCGCCGCCAGCGGCTCGCCGCCGCGGCGCGCGGCGCGCCGCCCCCGGGGCTGGCGCCGCCGGCCGACGCGCGGGCCCGTGCCCGCGCTGGCTTTTCTTGGCCGCAGTATTGCCCCCCCCCCCCCCCCTTCCCCGCCCCTCCCCCCCCCTCCCTCTCTCTCTCCCCCCCCTCCACAATTACTCAATATGAATACTACTCTCCTCTATCCCCTGATGACGGGTTGGGAGTGTTCGCCCCCCCCCCCCCGCGTATTGTTTTTTACACAGGATTCCCCGGAGTTGGGTTTTCGCTTGCATTTTTTTCAAAATGCTGCTCTCGCTGAGGCGCCGGCCTCATTTTCGGGCCCCGCTCGTTCCGAATCGTGCTCCCGCTGCAGCGCTGGCCTCATTTCCGTGCTTCCGCTCGTTCCGAATCGTGCTCCCGCTGCAGCGCTGGCCTCATTTCCGCGCTTCCGCTCGTTCCGAATCGTGCTCCCGCTGCAGCGCTGGCGTCATTTCCCGTGCCATGCCACGGCATGCAATGCAATGCTAGGTTGCGTTCCGCTGCGCGATGCCATGCCTTCAGCTGAAGCTGTGATATGCAGTGCTTAAGTGCCACGTCGTGCTATGCCATGCTACGCTTTGATCTTCAACGCCATGCTATGCAATGTTATGTTCGGGGCCGCTGTGCGATGCCATGCTTTGCGTTGCAAAGCTTTGTGCTGCAATTCTTCACTACGCCACGCCACGCCATGCTGTGACATACTACGCTTTGCGGTGCTCTTCTACGCCATGCCATGCCGTGCTCTACAATGCATCGCGTACCCTTTCGGGATCATTGCCCTGCTCGACATCCGACTGTGCGAGTAGAGAGGGGATCTACGCCATGGTAAGGGATGGGAGGGAGGGGTAGGATGTCAGATATGACGCGAGCGCACCTAGCTTGCCCCCTCCCCTCCCTCCCCCCCCCCTTCCCCCCTTCCCCCCTTCCCCCCCCCGCCGTCCCCCTCTTCAGCGCAGCCACCACTTGGTCGCCGCATCGGGGGGTGCTTCCCCCCGCGCTGCCAGGACGCTGCCCGTGCTGGGCCGTGGGGTGCTGCCGCCCCGCCCGCGGGGGGCTACCCGCGGTCGGGGCGTTCCTTCCCCCCCGTAATTACACGATATCTCCCCCGCGGTCGGGGCCTTCCTGGCCCCCTCGAATTACACAATGTCTCTCTCCTGCTGACGTCCTGACGTCCGGAAGACTTCCGGCCCCCCTTTCGCGTATTTTCTTACACGGGATTCCCGGGACATGTTTTTTCGCAAGGTTTTTTTTGTTCCCTGCTGAAGCGTTGGCCTCATTTCTGCTCCTAAGGTTGTTCCAAATTGTGCTCCCGCTGCAGCGCGGGCGTATTCGGTCCTTCCAAATAGGCGCTCAAATATAGAAAATATACCCCCTTTAGAACAAACATCATCAGTGATTACACATTCGGTGTCGATTTTTTGATTTCTTGGGCCGCAGAAGCCCCCCCCCACTTTGGGGCGTCGTCGTTTTCAGGAAGTATCAAGCGGGAGCTCCGTTTCTTCTTTGAGAAGCCGATGTTGAAAGCAGCGCCAGCTGGTGCATTCCATCAGCCCCGCCTTGTGTGGAGCTTTCCGGGGAGCCCAAGAAGCTAGACATGGAACCATAACCCCTGACCGGCCCAGACCTTTCGAAGGCGATCCACTTACCCTCCAAAAAACTTGGCGCCATGCCATGACATGCTGTGCGGTGTTGTGTTTTGCGCTGCTGTGCGATGCCATGCTTTGCGTTGCAATGCTTTGAGATGCAATGCTTCACTGCGCAATGCCACGCCATGCTATGGCATGCTACGCTCTGCCGTGCTCTTCTATGCCATACCATGCCGTGCTCTACCATGCAACGCGTACCCTGTCGCGATCATTGCCCTGCTCGACATCCGATTGTGCGAATCGAGAGGGTATCTACGCCATGGTACGGGATGGGAGGGAAGGGTAGGACGTCTGATATGATGCGAGCGCACCTAGCTTACCTCCTTCTCCTCCCCCCTACCCTGTTCTCTCCTTCCCCGCGCGCCGCCATGGCGCCGCCGCTGCTGCTCCTGGCGTGCAGCTCAGCCCCACCCATTCGGTGCTGCCCCGCTGCGGACGCTGCGCTTCGGCCACAGCACCACACAGTCGGTGCGCCTGGTGGACTCAAGGTTTTGCTGGTGGCGGTCCTCGGACTCTTGGACAGGTTCCCTATTTGCTCGCCATCGTCACTGCGCCCTCGCAGCGCTCGTGGGTGCGCCTTG